GACTGTTGAATCACAGATCTGTACTTCTGAAACAAATAACGCAACATATTTTAAGAAAAAAGGAAAAGAAGAAGATAACAGGAGAGGAAGAAAAGGGGAGTATGTAAGAGGGGGAGACGAACCATGAGAGATGATGGACTCTGAAAAACAAACTGAGGGTTCTAGAGGGGAGGGGGTAGGGGGATGGGTTAGCCTGGTGATGGGTATTGAGGAGGGCACGTTCTGCATGGAGCACTGGGTGTTATGAACAAACAATGAATCATGGAACACTGCACCAAAAACTAATGATTTAATATATGGTGATTAACATAACAATAAAAAAATTAAAAAAAAAAGAAAAGCAATTATTAACAAGAATTAAGGGTAGCTACTACATCTGGGGAGGAGAAAGGGACACAGGACGGGCTTCAAAAGTAATGGTAACATTCTGTTTTCTTTAAGCTGAATGAAGAATATATGGACATTCTATGATTTTTCTTTGAAAATGTGCATCCATACACATATTTATACATATTCTTTTGTGTATGTGGTATGTTTTATCGTTTTAAAAATTAGTAATCCAAATAATGCGGGGAAAGTTCTGAACTGCCATTTTCACACAAAAACCAAGGCTGTTCTGTCACACCAACCATTGGCATTGTGGCATTGCCCAAGTGCTTCTCATCCAGAAATAGTTCATACCAGTGTGGTTTCTGGGAGGAGCAAGCTGGCTGCTGATCCCTAAGGGCCCCGTCCTTGGACACAGGCATCTTTGTTCCCTAGATAAAGGGATCCAGACAGTGCGCTCCTGTCTGCAAGAGCAGAGATCTGGGGGTTTCTTCATGTGTGTGCCTCCTCGCCCAAGATGGCGGACTGATGAGCAGGCATCAAGGGTGGGGGTTGCCAGACATGCAGAGAGCATGACGCCTGGCTGTCTTGCAGGGAAACTTCCGCCTCCAAAGTGGCCCGCACACAAGGCAGAGACCTTCTGTAGTGCTGGTGGCTGGAGTAGCCCAGTGTCTGTCCCTCAGCTGTTGGACACGCAAGGCCAAGCGGGCTTGTGGTTGTATCAGACCTTGCTTCAAATAAGCCCTCCATGGCTGCTGCCATCAGCCCCTGATGCCTAACAGCATTGGTGGGAGGGCTGAGGAGCCACTTGGCTTGGAAGCTCTGCTGTGCCCTGGCCGCTGGTGCTCTCGGAGCTCAGTCCTTCACCGAGTTCTGCCGAGAGGGAAAAAGATGAAAGGAAGTCTTCATGTGGATTAGTGGTGTCTTTATTTTTGTTCATTTGTAGTCACTTCAGATGTTACTTTGTGAATGTACTTTTTTTTCCTTAGGCAAAAAGATGAGTGTCAGTTCCCACCACCAACTTAATCAAAATAGAATAATAGTCTTAACCAGGGTCATGTAGAGACAGTATTCCCAAGCAAGCATAAAACTGACATTGATTTCTTTGCCTGGAAATAAAAAAATAAGTGTCTATGAGTCATCTTTGGATTTGCATTAGAAACAGGAATGCAAATGAATGCCACCCTGTCTGCATACCCTACAGATTTCAAAAATATGTTTTGATTTGATGCATTTTAAGCCAAATATGCAAAGTTTACCAAAATCCTAAAATTTTCCAGTGAGGTATTCAAAGTTTGAGTTTTTGCTTGTGTTGATGACTCATTTTCTCTTTTGTTTTCTGTTTTTGTTCTTGATTTACCTTAACCTACCTGCTGACTCACGCCATCCAACCAACAGACAACACGAAAACCATGTCTCCATCTGTATGTTGTGCACCTGCTGCTCAAACATCCCAATTTGCAAATAATATGCAAATATCCATCCATGACAACGTCACATATAGGAAACGGTTGGTTTCATGACTTTCAACAGTTCTTAAAATTCCTTGCTTTGCTTGCTCTCCTCCTGTTCTTCCTTCCATTTCCTGTGACCCCTCACCACTGCCTTCCTGAGGGGTGTGGTCAGAGTCTGGCAGTACACCCATCGCCTCTGGCCTCTTTTTCTCGGCTCCTGGGGTCCAGCAGGGGCTTCTGATGGCCCTCCCAGGAGCCACTGGATTCAGGAGCTGGCCTTGGGTCTAGAGAGGAGGTATAGCGTCTTCTGAGTGAAGCGGCTAAGTGCCCAGTTTTTCTTCTCGGGATCGGGCTCAGAATTGGGGAGATTTTTGTACGACATGAGTTTGGACTTGATCCTACAGAATCCATGGGTTCTCTTTCACCATCTCCCTTCTGCTCCTTTCCCCACCATACCAACATACAAGGCTGGTTCTCCCCGGTGTCCTCTGACGACGTCTCCTGTAACATTCTCCCTGGACATGACCTTCCATAGGGAACCCTCTCTGGGTCTCAGGGCTGGAGGGGATTGGAGATTTTGTCTTCATGATTCAAAAAGGGGTGGTGTAAGGCCTGATGGTGTGGGAAGAGGGTCTGCCTCCAGAGACAGTGAAGCTCAGGGCTCTTGCACCCAGGCATCATTGATCCACTTGTGCACCCTTGCTCCGTGAGCTCGTGTGGAATGCAGGTAGCATGAACTTTGGCTTCCTTCCAGGCCTTCAGGGATGTTTGCAAGGAGAGCAAAGATTCCAGGAGCAGATTAAACTGAAGCTGTGACTGGAAATTCACATAAAGTAGCAAATATTTGAGATTCCTTTTACAAAATGAACATTAACGATAAATTGATTCACAAGTGGAGCAGAAGATCTTGAGTTGTGAGAAAAATGCCATTTGACGCCACAGAAATTTTCAACTCACTCAGGCCTTTTCATGGTCTTTTCCCGTCCACTTGGGGAGAGCACACCCCCCCGTGCCCTTCCTCATCCTCCAGAGCACACATCATCACCTGACATGCTGCGCATGTTGGGGTATAAAGAGCTTTTCTTTTCTTCATCATTGTCCCATGAGAACAAAGCTGATTAGGAGAGCAGTTTGTTGTAGCATAGACTGTGGCCCCCAGCAGATGTGCACAGGTCACTTTGCTTGACCCTGACTGGAAACAGTGATGTACTTGGATGCAGGAGATGCCGATCCGGGTCTCAGGCCTGTTGATCCCCTTTGTGGGGGCCGTGTTTCACAATGCCCGGCGTACCTTTAAATCCCTTAAATCTCGGACTCCTCACCGTTTGGGCAAAATGTCCTAATGTCTCCATTTGTGGATGAGGAAGCAAGGGGCTCAAAGGAGCCAGGGACCAGTGTACCCTCAAGGTGAATCAGCTACCACATTGAGAGGTGTGATGATGCCTCTTTGGGGTGCTCTGACCTTTCCTGATGCAGAGGCAGATGGCAATAAGGAAGGGCCTGGCTTTGAAGTAGTAGGTGCTCTCTGGTGTGACAGAAACCACGGACTCTGGGAGGATGGGGCAAGCTATGTCCATCTCCAAGGGGTTGGCCGAGGCCAGAGGCGACTATGCATTGCCGTGGGAGGCTGCCTTGTGCTTGCTGCCCCTGCTCTCCTGCAGGCGCTCGCATGGTGTTGCCTGGCAGCTCCCACCCTGGGCACAACCATGGAGTGCTCTGCCTGCCACGCCGTGCTCGGACTATCTGTGGCTGCTGTCGCCATCTGTCCTCATGGCTCTCTAGGGCTGTCTGTCTGTTGCCACCCCCATCCCTCTCCCGAAAGCCCACTGGAGCCCCAAAAAAAGACATCCTGGAGGAGGGGTGAGAACTTGAGTCTCAACAAAACGTAGCAGGTGACTTGTTGAGCTTTGCGTTCATGCACTATGTGGATGGACAGTGCCTTCCCCTGCCTTGTGTTCCATCCCTTCTTTCTCACACAGAGCCTAGATTTTCCCCAATATCTCCAGGAAATCTTCTCGTCTGTGCCAGTGGCCTGAGCAGAGCACTTTGGGCTGGGCAAATGATAACTGTGTTATCACAGTCTTGGCCCCTCCAGACCCAAGTGAGCAGGTGCTTTAGAGGCCGTGCCCTTGGAAGCTCCCTCCCGTTCCTCTGCTTTATTGTCTTTACAAAGGATTTCCCAGCACTGTAGACAAAGTCCCCCTTCCATCTCTGTGCTCATCTTCCCGAGGTGACTGGCTCATTTGAGAACCTGGGGCCCACGGGGCAGGGGTTGATGTCTCTTGGCCATCCTGTACCACTGAGATTCTCTTTCCCCAGCACAAGCAGGTGAGGGAGCTCTAGGCAAACTGTGTGCCCTCCAGGGTCACACCTCAAGGTCCACTCCTGCCTTCTTGCTGATCTGGACCACAGTCATCACCTCTTTGTGACTACCAGACCTCCCACCCCATGGCTCCGACATCTAGCCCTCCAGCAGAGACAGTCTAGTCTCCAGCCACCCCGGTGGGAACTGAAGAGGCAGACAAGGGCTGGGTTGGGGCCACTCTCCTTAGAAGTAAGAGTGAGACCTGCCTCTCCACCAAAGGCCTCAGCCCAGCCTGGAGCAGATGGGCAGCCCTGGAGGGAGGGCGGCCAGCTCTCCCCAGGCTCCCCATGCCTCCTGCAAGTGCTCTCCTACTGCTGCTCTCATTCAACATGCCGTGTTCTTTTCTCTTCATCTGACCACTGAATCTGGCGATACGATGTGTCTAGGCCTGAGCTGCTTGCATATGTTAAAACACCAAAGTTTCAGGAAGCTGCTGTCAGGCTGCGTGCGGGCACCTGGTCCCAAGCAGACAGAGGGTGGGAGACTGCCCAGGGCCACAAGCACCCCCACATCGTAGACACCGTCCAGAGCCGTGCTCCCTGAAATGGATGTGCCAATAACTCAAGGTGCGCCTGGGCCAGGGTGGAAGCCTCCCTCCCAGGTAATCTGTGGAGTCCAGAGTTTATTGCTTCTTTTTGTGCTTGATTTTGAACCTCTTGGATGAGGGAGCAGTGCTAGATACCCTGGGATCTCTGGAGTTGAGACCATTTGCGGATTTCATAAGTGGCTTCCGTGGTGTGGGCCGCAGGATCGCCAACACTTACCCTTCCTATGTCTGCAGGCACCAGGAGCAGCCCCAGAGGAGATGTTTGCCCCTCTGCCAGGTCCCAGGCATCAGGGGCTTTGCTAGCCATATGGAGAAGCAAAGGGCCCTTCAGAGGCTCTCGGTGAAGAAGCAGCCCTGCCCGGCACTTGGAGGGCTTGGCTGTGTCTTGCAAGAGGCGGTCAGTGTTAGAGGCCCATCCACAGTTGGTCTCCTGGCTCCACCTGGCAGCAAGGAGCTGCTTCTGAGAGTTTTTCTCTCTCTCCCTCCCTGTTGGGTGCAGGGGAGCCTAAAGCAGAGGGGTTTCTTTGATTTGCTGCATGAGAGGTGATTTGCAATGACAAGCTTTACTTTTGGAAGGTGTTCTGGTGGCCGATTGCTGCTCATACCATAGAGCAGTGACGTTTTGTTCGATCTCTCTTCGTATGCACTTTTCTTCAGGACCACAGCACGCCAGGGAGAGGTGGGTGGGGAGCAGCACCTGAAGTTGCAGGAGGCTGGTCTCCGCAGGTTAGAGAACAGCCTCTCTTCCCTACAGAACAATTTCATCAACCTCAGCTTTCTCCGCCTCTTCCGTGCTGCCCGGCTCATCAAGCTGCTGTGCCAAGGCTACACCGTCCGTATCCTGCTGTGGACCTTCGTCCAGTCCTTCAAGGTGAAGCCCAGGTACGGCCCTCGTGCCCTGACCCTCCCCTGTGTGATGCACAGTGCTGTGGCCACCAGCTCCTCCTCGCCACCAGAGCAGCCCCTCCTCCGTGGAGGCTCCCTGTTGGCACCCGTTATCCTATTGTAGTTTACAAAGACATTTTAAGTGATCCAGAGAGCATCTTGGTAATGCTCACTGACTCTGAGGTGGGTTCTATGACTGATTATAGACGAAGGAACTGAGGCGGTCTCTTGGTGGAGGGGCTTCACGGTCAGTGGGGGTGGATTTGCCATCACTGGGGTCTGGGTGGCCCCAGAGACCCGACCACCATCCACTCAGCAGACGAGGCCCGAGCAAGGTAGCTGGGCAGCCCTCCCTGTAGCTGCCCTGTCCTCTGTATGTCTCCACAGGCCCTGCCCTACGTATGTTTGCTCATCACCATGCTGTTCTTCATCTACGCCATCATCGGCATGCAGGTGGGTGCGCCTGATGGGACAGGGAGCAGAAGGGGGGGCCCTGTGCCCTGGGGCAGAAGGGCACTGATCATGGTCATCAAATGTTATCAATGACAGATTGGCACTTGGGGAACATTTCTATGTTTGAAGCACTTTGTGAACGTAATTCTCAGAAAGGTTGTTCTACCGATAAGGACACGGAGGCTGGGCACCATGGGTTTGGGCCAGTCACCCAGAGTCCACTAGTGAGGCGTAGCTCCACCGTCTGTGGGAAAATGCTCTGCTGTGCTCCTGAGTGGAACCCAATTGGGCTGTTAGGGTGTTGATGGGCATGTTTGATTGAGTGCCGGGCCCCCATGTTGGTGGAGCTTTTGAGCACATCTGCCTGGTGCTGAGTGGCCTGCAAAGCACCCGCTTGTCATTCTGTTAGTCCAGAGAGTTGACCTGATCCTGTACAGGAAATTATATATTACAGAAGAAAAAATTCAACAGGATCACACCAGATCACTGTACTGTCAAGTTCAGCTTGGATAAGTTAGATTGCCTTTATTTTGCCAAAGAATCCTTTGTCAGCTACTTGGAAAAAATTTAAAAGACAAAGCAGTTTTCCAGTTTTAAATCTTTGGCATCTGGCCACTTTTCAACAGTAGGATGGGAGATGGATCCAAATGTTAAATTATAGTGGGAGAAGCCATTGTCCTAAAGGTTAGCTGAAAAGTGATTTTTAAACTCTACTTCAGGGATTGAAAAGTTTGTCTTCCTTTAAAATTTGCTGAGATCTGATGCTATTTAAAAATATATATATATTTGTGCCTGCTTTGGTTTGGGAATTTATAAGACCAGAAAGGTCACTGATCTTTGTTTTTTGGTGAATATGTGATAGTTCATAAATTTTTCAGCCAGATTCCAGATTTTAAGCCAAGTATACTTACTGACTTGTTTGCATTCCTAACCCTAAAAATAAATCAATTAAAATGGATAAAAAGCCCATTGTGATATTTGCACAGAAATTAAGAAAGAAACTTTCAAGTTGAACTCATAGCTATTACCAATAAAATTACTGCTTCAGAGTCATTGATGACAGGGTGAAATTTCAAATGCTTCCTGTCTTATATAGAGCGCAGCCCATGTAAACGTAGCTCCGGGTGGCATTTTTACTCGGCATGCGGACTTGCAGGTGTAGACATGCGGAGCTGGGGGGTGGGGGACAGTGACATGTTTGGCTGGATGTGCTGGCCCCTCCAACCCCTGCCGCAGTGGTGCTGGCTAAGGGCAGCCTCCTGTGCCTTGTGGGTCCTCACCTGCACACATCCTCTTCTGCCTGGCCACAGCTCCTGAGGGCCCAACAGGACCAGCCTGCAGCCTTCTTTCTCATTTCAGATTTTTGGAAATATTGCCCTGGATGATGACACCAGCATCAACCGACACAACGCCTTCAGGACGTTTTTGCAAGCTGTGATGTTGCTGTTCAGGAGTGTTGTTTGGGGAGTCAGCGCAGGCTCAGAGGCTCCTCTGTTCTGGAGGGACAGGGCGTGTGCCGACCCAGAGGGCCACCCCCTCTGACCCCAGCTCGTGCTGGCTTCCCCTCAGTGGGCCTTCCAAGCTTCTTCTCCCCTCTTCCTCCTTCCTTCCCTAAGGGTTCCTGGGCCTCGGGACAGATAGAAGGGAAGTCCATGAGGGAGGTCAACCTGAGAGCCTCAGGTAAGGCTGGCCTTGACCACCTCAGCTCAGATTCCTGGGGGTGGCCAGAAGGCCTCTGGTGAAGCTGCACTCAAGGGTCTGGGAGGACAGAAGGTGTCCTGCAGGGCCTTTTTTGGTGTGCTAGCCATAGGCTTTCCATCTGCTCACTTTGGTGACTGCAGGGTCTGTGGGATCGGGGCCGGGGGTGGGGGCAGGGCAGGGCAGGGGGACACAGAGTGTGCTACTCAGGGACCCAAGGAACTCAACTGGCCAGAGTGAGTGCCTCCACCTGCCCCATGGCTCACAGGACTTCAATTCCCAAGGCTCCAGGCTCCAAGGCAGGCAGAGTAGCTTGTTTCTGGCTCAGGCGCCTCCCTGTGTGCTCGACAGGGCTGCATGTCAGCTTTCGTTCTGAGACGTGACACACTCCCTGTGGCCCATCCTGGTTTGGGGGTTGTGGGGAGGGGGTGAATGTGTCTCACTGCCTCCAGGATCCCCTTCATTAAGGCAAGCCCACCACATGACCCTAGGAGGAAAGAAAGGAGCTCTTTGTAGGGACTTGTGGAGGAGGGGTGCTGACATAAAACCCTGCCTGGGGCTCCTTCTTGAGGTGCCCACTTGCGTGTTTGTTTATGCAGATGCACCAGGATGCTGTAAGGCCTGTGCTGGGAGATGCCCAGCACGATTAATCCCAGGCAGATTCATTCCAGGGCCCGTGGAGGTTCCTCTTTTTATGGAGGGAGATCAGACCGATCTGCTTAGCTAAGCTGCCTGGAGAGAGTTGTCTGACTCTTGTTTTTTTAATCAGATGGACAAGTATCCTTAGGCCTACACTTTCTCCAAATGACATCATTTCTCCTGACATTAGCTATTACGTTCATTTCATCTCTTCATTTATTAATGTCCTGCCTCGTGCTATAAGAGTTGAGGCAGGCCTATGAAACCAGCCTCAGTTTTAAGTCTTTGTTCTCAAAGATCTCTTTTCCTCCCTGGTCTCTGTGTCACGTATGAGCACCAGTATCAGTCAGGCTTGGCATTGGACCACCGCCCTGCAGGAAAAGCCCCCTACTCCTAGCCATTGTTAATGGGAAGAGGGCTCCACTTGTGCAGAGAGCTGACCATGCAGGCACACCCAGTGTCAGGGGGTGGCCCAGGCCACTGGTCTGCCTACAAGTCTAGTGTACATCTGGCCTTCGTGCTGGCCGAACACCCAGGGACAAAATTCTATGAAGAAAGGTCCTCCAGGATGGCCACTTAGGCTGGTGGGGCTATTCTTGGTGTGTTCAGGAAACAGCAGACGCTGGTGTGGCTGGAGTGGACTGAGCAGAGACCACAGGGAAAGAGCAGGCTGCGAGTTTCACAGAGCTGTGGGCAGTTGTGTGAATTTTGGCTTTTGCAGTGAGTGAGGGGTCATTGAGAGGAAAAGTGACCTGATCTCACCTGTGTGTAGTGGACCCACTTGGCTGTTGGGTGGGGCAGAGCAGGAAGTTCCGTGAGGAAGCTATTGCAGCAGCTCAGGGGAGGTGGTTGTTGCTTAGCCCAGGGTGCTGAGAAGTTGTAAGAGTCTAGCTGGTTTTTGAAGGTAGATGAGCTGATGAAGCTGGTGAGAAGGAATGGAGGCAGGGATGCCTGCAGTATATTTGGCCTAAGAAAGGGATGGAGCCCCCATTTATTGAACCAGGGAAGGCTGGGATGGCACATGCTGTGTGAGGGAGGCCAGGAAGGGCTGTGTTGGCTTCGAGGTGCCAGAGGTCCATGAGGGGGCGCTCACCATAGTGCTGACTTTTGGTGCAGTGCCTTGTTTTCAGTAACTAGTTCTTTCCGAGTTAATGATCAATTTGAAAATCTAATGCCAGAGGATTCTTTTTAAGAAGTAGGTATCTCTTACCTAGACCTTACGTATGAGTGGGTTCGCTGTGGGAGGGAGCCCAGGGAGGGTATGCACTTGAGCCAGCTCTTCTGAGATTTCTTCTCAGGCTGGCCTGGGCCTTCCTTTGTGGGTCTCATGGCTCTGCCCTTCTTCTGAGGAGTGCCACTGGGGAGGCCTGGCATGAGATCATGCCGTCTTATCTCAGCAACCAGGCCTGTGATGAGCACGACAATGCCAGTGAGTGTGGGAGCGACTTTGCCTACTTCTACTTCATCTCCTTCATCTTCCTTTGCTCCTTTCTGGTACGTCCTGGTCACTGTGACCCTGTGTCCACCTGTCTCAATCCATCCCAGACCCCCCCTCCATCTCTCACTGATCCCTGATACTGATACATGGCATATTACAAGCGGATTCTGTGTCGATGGTCCTGTTTCCCCAGAGACGATGACCTCTAAAAGGACGCACTCTGTCATGAGCTCCTGTGGGCCTTGCCTTTCCTTCTCAGAAAGGGTTTTAAGTTTCCACGGGACAACTGTCCTTTAGTCTTTAGCCTCTGCCATGGTGATGAGTTACAAAGAAGCAGCACTCCAGCTGGTGTGCCTGGGGCAGATGAGCCTCAGGACACTGGTTGTTGGGGCGGTAAGTGGACTAGATCCAAGTCAGCAGACACCTCTGGGAAACTTTGAGCAGGGGCATGACACAATCTGGGTGATACTTTAAAACCTCGCTCTGGCATCTGGTCAGGAGAGGCTGAGGAGTGGTCAGGAGATGGTTGGAGATGACAGTGCCTAGAGAAGGGTGGGGATGAAGGGAGTTGAGCTGCACTTTAAAGACAGAGCCAACATGACTGATGAGTAAGCACAGGCATGAGAGAAAAAGAGAAAGAAAGCCGCACCTGCCGTTTGCTGGGGTGCTGGAGAAACAGGTGCTCGTTCACGCCAGTGAGAATGTGACGAGGTGCAGCAGCTGTGGAAGACAGTATGGTAGCTCCTCAGTAAACTGAAAATAGAATGGCAGTATAATCCAGCAACCCCACTTCTGGGCGTATGCCAGAATTGAAGACAGGGACTTGAATAAATATTTGTACACATACGTTCATAGCATTATTATTCACAATGCCCAGGAGGTAAAAGCAACCAAAGTGCCCATCAACAAGAGACTGGTACACAAAATGTGACATGAACATACAAGGGACTATCATTCGGCCTTAACAAGAGAGGCCGTTCTGGCCCATGTTTCAATATGAATGAATCGTGAAGTCATTATGCCAAGTGAAATAAACCAGTGTCAAAAGGAAAAATAACTGTATGGTTTCACCTATCTGAGGCCCTCGAGTGAAGTTCACAGACAGAGAGTAGGATGTAGGATGGTGGGTGCCAGGGACTGGGGGAGGGGTGGGAGTTCGGGTTTAATGGGGTCAGGGTTTCAGTTGGGGAGAATGGAAGAATTCTGGAGATGGACAGTGGGGATGATTGCACAACAGTGTCAGTGTGCTTGATGACGCTGCACTGTACACCTAAAAGTGGTTAAATTGGTAAGCTTTTTGCTATTATGTGTTACCACAATTTAGAAAATGGTATTAAAAAAGAATTAACATAAATCCTATCCAAACTCTTTTTTATTTTTTTAGAGGGGGGGAGGGAAAGAGGGAGAGAGAGAATCTCACGCAGACTCCATGCTGATTGCAGAGCCCGACGTGGGACTCCATCTCACGACCCTGAGATCATGACCTGAGCTGAAATCCAGACTCGA